TCCCTCCTCTCTCGTCTCCCGTCTTCTGTGTGTAGATAGGAGGGTGGGACCCATTGACTTGTGAGTCTCACTATTTTTTCTTTTGTCTGTCTGACGTGGGCTCCACATTTTTGTTTTTAATTTTAGTTTTTATATTTTGCTTATAGTGTCACATCATCGTCACGTAGGACAAGGACCAAGTCAAAGCAGCCACGTAGACGCCACGTCAATCAAAACCACCATAGAAACCGTTGAGGGACTTCCTTTGTACCGGTTTTAATAGTCGAGGGACCCATTGTATCTGGTTTTCCGGTTGAAGGATGAAAATTGGATTCGTTGAAAAGTTAAAGGACCTTAAGTGAACTTATTTCTTACTGGAACCAGTTGGGCCCAAAAGAACATACCACAAGACCCACCACTGACTCAAACCTTGCTTCGTGCAAGATCTTTAGAAATGTTTCTTTTTTTTCCTTTGAAGATTACATTTAAAAGAAGAAAAAAAAACTGCCGCCTAATTTCCTTTTAAAAAAATGCTATAAGATGTTAACCCGTTTGGATGGGATGGTACTTTACAGGTATCATATGCTATCGACTAATTCCTATTAGACATAAGACGATATCTAAGAGGTATCATCAGCTGGTACCTACCAAGTATCATTTCGTCGAACGGGATATCTACTTTAGTATATTATTATTATTATTATTATTATTATTATTATTATTATTATTATTATTATTATTATTATTATTTCTAGCTTGGAAGTTGCAGAAATCAAGCCACACAAGTAAAAAAACAATATGCAATATGCGACCTCTTCCAACAAATGGACCGAGTAGTAGCGCACTACCAGCGCCAAAAGCTACTCAGCAAACGGCACGACGACCATCGTTTGGCATTAGAGCCGATGGTCGGTTCAGGTGTTTCAACGCTTTCTGCCGCCGCTGACACCGACGCCGACGAAAATTAATTAAGCACCCACCGAGCAGCAGCAGTTGGTTGGCTGTTGGCAAACCGCTCTCAAGCAGCGGAGTGCATACGGATTCGTGAAATCGTGGACAGGGCGAACGACAGCTATGTTTTATGTTTGGCGCTGGTGTTTGGATGCCAATCCACTACAAAAACCGCCAATGATTTGCCTCTCGCCGTACCTGCCTGTCTTGCAGTTGACGTGGAAGCTATGAGAAGCGGATAAGCCATAAGAGCAAGTATAATGGTACGCTATAAACCGGCTAAATGCCGAGGTGTAGGAGAGAAAAAAAAAAGAGAGGAAAAACGGGCTGTAAACTTTCGGTTCGGACACCGGAACCAAAAAAAACTATATGAGAAAGATAAGTAGGTCCTATAGTCATAGTAAAGAGCTAACTATTACTAGGTAGGCTAAGAGAATGCTAAAAAGAATCTTATAAGCGACGATATAAGATGATCCATGACCCAGCATGCGACGAAACGGACCCAATCAACGAGGATTAAGCAAAAACATTATTGCCATTTCCAGCCCTGGCCTGCAAGGCTCTGCAAAGATACATATTGATGCTCTGATAATCTAGCCATGGTGATCATATCAACTTAAGTAATCCGGAGTAGTTAGAGCTAATTTCAGTTAGTTAGTATCTCGATCAGCTGGAGGGGATCATTGATCAGGCCGTGATGAGGATGCCAGCGCTGGATAGTGTGTGGGAGTTGTGGTCGAAAGGTCCCAAACAGCCTACCGAATGGGGACACCTACTATCTCTTGACGTGGCGCCGCGGCGTCGCAAATCTTATCGTCGTTCTCGGTCGCTGTCCACTTTGAAGCCTCTGCCTTTATCGCATCGCCTCAAAGCTCAAAGTCTCAAACACATGGTTACACACACTGTAGTTTTTTAATACACGATGTCGTTGATTTTTTGAAAAAAGTTTGACCATTCGTTTTTATACACGATGCAGTTGATTTTCTGAAAATCGTTTGATCATTTATCTTGTTCAAATTTTTTTAAAAAAATATAACACTATTTAAGTTATATTAAAAATCATTTGATGATAAATTAAATCACAATAAAATTAATAATAATCATATAAATTTTTTGATTGAAACGAATGGTTAAACGCACGTTGAAAAGCCAACGATAACATATGTATTAAAAACGGAGAGAATATTTGTATTGTGTTAATTAAGATGCTTGTGTGGCTGTGTCTATGGGTAATCTGAACGCTGACCCAAAAAGAAACGGTCCGGCTACTTGAAATGGTCATTTCATCTGCATTACTCATTTTTTTCAGAGGAATTTCATAAGCATTACTCGGTCATTAAACGGCATTTCAAAGTACTCCATTAATTTTTTTATATATAATTTACTTTACTTTTTAAAATAAGTTTGATGATTCATTTTATTTTTAAAATTATTATTATTATTTACTTGATTTATTACTAAAGGTTTTTAGCATGACTTATATTTTTATAGGATGAATGCATATTTCAAAAAGTTAATAATACTATATATTAAAATACGGACGTAATATTATTTTGTAGGCTTAAGCATCCACACGAACGAAATGGAATTGAAATTCTAGGTCGTTGAGGATTCTAATGATTAGCTAGTTCATTCTATTCCATGGTCGCATTCGAGGATTAGTGCACGCAATTACGTGGTCCTGGCTAGCACACTATTTTTGCGTGCACTGAACAAGCTTGGTTGCGATATTAATCGGGCGAAATCATATCAGCTCTGGCTGTCAACCATCAACTCATTTGTCATGCCTTCTACACAATCACTAGCTTTTATTCATTTGTCATTTACGGGACATTGAGCTCTTATGCTGTTAATTCCATTTTCCTTTCGCGACAAGTATAGTTTAACACAACGAATATATATCCTACGTTTTCAGAACGATGTTAAGTTATCCTAGAAAAAAGAACAGAGGAAGCGATCGAGGCTGTGTTTATTTCGTGTGCCAAAATTTTTTTTTAGGCAATTGTAAATTTACCACTACTTTGAATCGTTATTGCAAAACTGCCACTAAAAAAATTATAAAAATGCCACTAGAACTATCATTTAAGTGGCAACCTTGCAATATTAGAAAAAACAGTGGCAAATTTGCAAATGCTCCAATTTTTTTTAAGTATACGGATACATATTTGAAGTAGTAAATGTAGACTAATAACAAAATAAATTATAGATTCCACCTGTAAACTGCGAGACGAATCTATTAAACCTAATTAATCTGTCATTACTAAATGTTTACTATATCACCACATTGTCAAATCATAGCGTAATTAGGCTCAAAATATTCATTTCACGATTTATATGTAAACTGTGTAATTGGTTTTTTTCGTCCACATTTAATGCTCTATGCATGTGTATAAACATTTGATGTTACGAAAAAGTTGGAAGTTAGAAGAAATAAAATAAATCTATAAACACGGCCCGAATTGAGATATAGAGAGAAGCGACGTTAGTCATCAAATGTCACTTGTCAGTACTCCACAAAGCATGCAATTCTTCCTCGGTTGTCGCTTTATCTAATTTATTTATGATCGACGCGTGCCTTCTACGACCTAGACACCGCATAATAACGGGTCATTTTGTTGCTGTTAGTGCTTAGTGCTTCTACACGCTACCGATTAAAGACAAATTCGCCCTTTTCTTAGGCGTCGTGAGCACATGCTGTACATTGCCATGGTACACACAGCCTGTTGATGTCACCAATTTCCACCCTCCTTGGATCGTAATATTAGATATATAGGATACATTTTCTCCTCTGCTTCGTCCATCCTAATTAATAGGATACATTTTCTCCTCTGCTCCTTTTTTTTAATTAAGATACTGATTTCACTCTGGTAAATAATATATTTTGTGTGAAAACTTTTTATATAGAAATTACTTTCAAATATTAGATAAATTTATTTTTAAATTAAAATAATTTAAATCCAATTAATCTTTATCCGCTACTAGTTCAAATGAGACCTAAGTTAGACAAATATCACACCCGGATTGAAAAAACCGATGAAAACCATTTGGTTTTTGTAAAATTACGAGATTTGAGTTGGCTCTAGTTGACAAACCACTCAATAAAACAGTCAAATTAAAGTAAAACCTAGTTTCAGTTTTTTATCTGAACTACTTCTGTTTTCAACTGGTTTTCATGAAAATTGAAAACAACTCCAGAGCAGTTTTCGATCAGCTAATGATTTTGTGAACTCCACATCAAACCGATACTATTAGTTCATATATCTAAAGAAGTTCAAAGTATTGCTGCCAATATTAAGTAATTTTTCTATTGCAATAAGAAATAAAAAGTTTATCAACATGTGCAAGTAGATTTTGAATAGATAGATCTTCATGAAACGTCAGTATATGTCACCAATAGGGCGATCGGCATGAAACCAACGAGTATTACTCACAACGGTTTATAACTAATAAAACGATCAAAGAGTCCCATTGGTTGTCCTAATAAACTAAAACCAAAGCAAAATTTTAAATTTTCAAACTTAATTTTGAAGTTTATTTTAAGATATTTTCAACGTGGTATCTTTTTCAGCGTTGGTTTTTAAGTCGTTAAAAACACATATATAAAATTTTTACCTACAAATTAATAATTATTCTCTAATAAGCTGTTTTGACTTATTATTACTACTATTATAAAAACTGAAGATGTTTTTGTCGGTATTTGAGTATGTCATCCGTGTATGAGTCAAGTTCGTAAGATTAAAATAAACTTCACTTGTTACAACCGCATGAATATTTTTTTTAGTTAAGTAATATATGGACAACCGATGAGGAGCCAAATATATCTCTTAAGATATTAAGGTGAAAAACTAGTACTCCTTACCAAACATGCAAGGTGCAGGTGCAAGCAAAGGTGATTTTACCAACCTTCTGGTTGGACCGATCGTTGGCTGTTCGCGCTTCCCTTGCTGATGAGGCCGAACAGTTTTTCCCCCCGCGAGGTCGCGGACTCGCGACAGCCCGCCGCCCCGCCCCGCCCCGCCGCAGGTCATTGACAAATGGGTCCCACACGGACATCCTACCCCACCTGTCACCATCTAACGGACGAATCCCCCCTCCCAGCCGTTTCCCCTCGTCGTCTCCACCTACGCGAGCGACTCGCTCGAGCTCTCTCGCCTCCCCGCTATAACACGCGCCTCCCCTTTCCCCCCCACCACTCCTCTCCCTTTTCCCTCTCCCCCCTTCCTCGCTTCCCCCTTCGCGGCGCGCGCTTGCGTGGCTGGCTTGGCAGGTATGGGTGACCTGGGAGGAGCCTGGCATGAGGCGGCCGCGGCGGAGGAGGAGGAGGCACAGGCACCGGGCGGCGGCGTCGGGCCCGAGCCCGACCACCTGGTGGTCATGGTCCACGGGATCGTCGGGAGGTAATGGATACTAAGCTCGTGGGGGGCTCGTGTGCTGATCCGCTTTTGGTTTGATGCCGTAATTTTTGGCTGCTTAATTGCTTCGGCCTTCGGCTCGGGGGCGCTCTCTGAATTCAAGTAATTATTTTTTGTATGGTTTATTCTCTGATGGGTTCAGTTGCGCTCTCTGAATTCAGTGTTCTCTGAATTCTCTTCAGCGAGGTATCGCTATAGCAAGCGTGAGCAGCGGGCTCGCGCGTTTTTTTGCTGGACAGTGGACAGAAAATATGGAGATTTGGGCACTTAGTTAACAAACTGAATTTGAGATATCCCTTAGATGCTATGGCATTCTTTCATATTGGGCAGGTCGGCGTTTCCAATCAAGGCACGCAAAATTAGATCCATACCAATCGCTTGAGAATCGAGAGTGCTTAACTACCTGGTTGCAGTATAGCACGATGCTTATGCACATTTCAGCCATATATTAGTGCATCACTGAGCCCCGTTGCTAACTGGTTTTTTTTACCCTTCTGTATATCGTTTTGGTTGTCTGTTCCATGCATTGATCTTTCTTTCTTCATCTGTGCAGTGCAGCTGATTGGAAGTTTGGAGCTGAGCAATTTGAAAAGTTGCTGTCAGACAAAGTTATAGTTCATCGTAAGCTTCTCCCTATTCGCGAGTGTGTATATCATTTTTCTGAATGGTGTTTGGTGAGCAATTGTACTGCCACTTTTCTATATATACTTCAGTAAGACCATTATGGCATCTTATCTAATAGCAATACCTGTTACAACTTACAAAGTGTGATACGATGGGAATGTGCCCAATGGACACCTCTCATTGGTGCCATCTTTTTTGTTTTGCAATTTTGGTGATCATAATGAAAAAAGAAAAGAATTTTACCTCATCTTCCATGTTTTTTGGGATCTCCTTGCTCAGAGGCTACTTGTAAGACTGCAAGAGGGAGCATGCCCCTCTACGCGGTTACAACAGACTCTCGGCTGCCTTGCACACCCATAATTCCTCACGGATCACCCAAACAATATCCTCTATTGTCCAATTCAAACAACCATTGAATATCCTAACTTTGCACTCTTTCCAAATCATTCATTGCAACAAGATCACCAAGGTGTGTTGCGCTTGTAGAATATGTCCCTACCTGTGAGCAACAGTTACAAAGTTATGATTCATTAAGGGGATTGTTGCAAATAATTATTTTGCTTTCCATATGTGAAACACAAATTCAAATATAGTAGATAACTTTGTTATCCCAGTCAATGCACAATCATATGTGTCTTTGTATTTGCACTACAGCATTGGAGGCTGGAGTCATACAGCATATGTTCCATAATTAAGATGGATGTTTTCTTGCTTTGAACCATTTCATTATGGTTACCTTACTTCAGTGATATTTTAATTTTGTAGGTAGCAATCGCAACATGTACAAGCTAACTTTAGATGGCGTTGATGTGATGGGTGAGCGGTTGGCACAAGAGGTCAGTGATTTCATTGTGCATATTGCTTATTTGCTGAGTATGTATGTCTTTGTTTCCCAAATTCATGACAAAATTTAGAAAGGCAGATTGTTGAAGAAACCAACAAAAGACCACAGATCAGAAAGATCTCTTTTGTTGCACATTCTGTTGGAGGATTGGTTGCAAGATATGCTATTGGAAGACTCTATAGGCCACCTAAACAAACATCCCAAAGTTCTCAGAATCTGAACAACACTAATAAGGGTACTATACATGGGCTTGAGGCAGTGAACTTCATAACTGTTGCGTCACCGCATCTTGGTTCTAGAGGAAACAAACAGGTACTACTTAAACCTTGTTTTACTGTACTTAATTCAAGAATTGATAAGTTATTTAAAACTTTCGAGGTTGAACAATCACTTGCTTTTAGTGATATGAATATAGTATATTACCTTACTCTGAATTGCTATACTTGCACGAACATTCATGCTCCAGGCTCCAGGACATGTACATTTTCTTCAAGTTAAGCACATGCTAGTCTGTACTCAGTACTGTTGCTAAGGTTTCTTTAATCAATATTGTGATGCCAAGATCAACCATGCAATCAGCAGAGAACTCTTCTTTTGTAGAGATACATATGGCTTTGGTTATATTCAGGTTGAAATATCATTATTAATTTGTTCTGAAATTCAATCCGCAGGTTCCTTTCCTTTTTGGATTTACTGCAATAGAAACTTTTGCCAGCTACATCATTCATTTGATATTCGGAAAAACTGGCAAGCATCTATTTCTTATGGACAATGATGATGGGAAGCCTCCATTGTTGCTACGCATGGTGGATGATTGGGGGGGCGTACAGTTCATGTATGTTTTCCCCCATCATTTGGATCTATATGCTTGGATCATGAATCATTTGACTGTTAAGTTTATTAACTTCTTGTTTTAGGTCTGCTCTGAAAGTATTCAAACGAAGAGTTGCATACTCCAATGTTGGTCATGATCGTATCCTTTTCTTTTACTACTAAAAGACTAAATATACATTTAGTACTAAGTATTGTTTAAAATATCATTCCATAACTTGATGTTGACTAAGATATTGTTGGGTGGAGAACATCATCCATCAGGCGAAATTCTGAGCTACCGAAGGTTTACCCCCATGGCTACTTTTTTGTGACTTTGTTAGTTTGGCCTGTATACTGAACCTTGAATTTTTCCCACATACGCGTTTCTTGCTATTTCAGTGGACTGATTCAGGAAGCAAGATTTACCCACATATTGTATATGAAGAACTATCCAAAGCAGAAACAATGAATCAATGTACTGATGTTGCCGATGTGGACAGCTGCATGTTAGAAGGTTTGTATTATTGTTTTGATTGATAATGGATCAACATGATTATATTCAAAATTTGGTAATATTTGTAATCCCATATTATCAATAACAGTATTTCTGATAAATATTCAGTGCTATAGATATAACTATTTTTCCATGGTTTATGTAATTCCATGTTTTATATTTTCCTAATTAGATTGTTGTTTTTACCTAGTGAAAGAAAAGAGTTTTTGGGATGCTACTTATTATGCATGTTTATATGACATATGGTGACCTCTTTCTTTAGTTATAGTTCTTTCTTTGGGAAAATGGAAATAAGCTATTTCTTCTAAGTTTGCTAAGGCTCTTGGGATAACCAGGACATGGCTGCATTGCTGAGTGGGTCTAGCGTGCGATCTCCCATACATGCCCCCCCCCCCCCCCCCCGACTATACAGAATGCACGTTGCTTGTATTCTTGTGACTTAACAATGTCCATAACTCCATATGTATGGTTGCAAATGAGACCATGCTCAACGACAGTACTCTGATTGTATCTGTCTGTTTACTATGTTTTTTTTTCGTGAATGTGCAAAAACTTTTCCCGTCAATATATTAGAACATGCGTGTGGTGTTCCAAAAATCAAATGATGTCGTTGGACTGTCCTCGTTTTCCGATAGGCTTTTAATATTTTCTGCGAATTGGAACAATAATATGCACTACAGAAGTGTTCTGTCCAAGTGATCATATAAGCCATATTATGACCTGACCTGCTCTTATTTCCTATGCCATGTGTTATGTCCATATGAGCATAACTTCTTCTGAAATTTCCAGAACGGCTTTTAAGAGGTCTGAAGCTTGTGTCGTGGGAAAAGGTGGATGTCAGCTTCCACAACAGCAAAGTAAGATCTGCAGCACATAGTGTGATTCAGGTATCTCTTTGCCCGTCTAAGCCTTGTTCTTTTATATGCTGTGTACAAACAGAGTCGATATTATTTACTCGTAGTTTTCTTTTAACTTAGCAACCAGTTTCTGTTTGTTGACATAGCGCTGAGATTAACGCATGCTTATAAATGAAATTTGGACAGGTCAAAGATCCCGTTATGCATAGCGAAGGTGCCGATGTCATAAACCATATGATCGACCATTTCGTCCTATAGTAAAACAGCTCCGATATCTAGAAGCAAGCTTGAGCGAGGAACGTCAGTTGCTAACTGCTGATTTGCCGAGCCTGGTGAGCAAGTTTATCGCAAAATCCAGGTTTCGGTTGTGTGATAAATGGCACTAAAAAGGAGAAACTGATAGGCAAGTACATATATACAGGAGAAATAGAAAACTCGCTGCAGATGCCTCGTCATTCATTATGTATTATGATCATGTTCGTTGTTCGTTGTAACTGGAATATAACCGGTATGTCATTGTAAATGTTCATCATTGATTTATTTAAATCTTGAGTGTTGACGCCGCCTGCATTTGTTTCAGAAAATTTGGTCCGGATATGCGAGTATTGTTGGCACTTGTTGGGAATACAACGGCAACGCGTATTCGTAACCGGCTAAATAAGAAAAAAAAGCATATCAAACGTCAGCTAGTAAATTTAATAGTCACTTTGTTTTGGATGATTAAATTAAGACTAATTACTAATATAAGTGGGATTTCATAATTGTAATACCAATTCATTCTTTTTGCCATAATGCAGTGTGAAATTAAGGATTTGTCCCTTCATTTCTTTTTCTATTTTGTTTGCTTGCTCTTTTCCATCTTCAATAACAATGCCACTAGCTCCGACCACTTATGCTTGCACCCTGAGCTAGTGTAAGTAGACCCGCGCCCAAGCTCTGTAGTCACCGTATATAATTTATTTTCACATATAAGATTGTGTTATTTTATTTGCAAATATTGTACATACAAATAATACTTTATATATCTATGTTGCTTAACTCGTTTTTTGAAATCAGGAGAGATTTTTTTTTTCCAAAAAGTATTTAGGATGTTGTATGGTAATAAGATTTGTATGCATTATTATTTATATATAGATAGTCCTATAACTATCTATAGTTTTTATATAAAGAATATAAATGTGACATTTGTTATGAATTTAATGGTCATAATACACTATATATATTGTTCAACCCACTTACATTATCTACAATTGTATATATTTTGTGTTAGGCAACACTTTTTTAGAAGTATTTGCAAATGCATAAGTCGTGTAATAAGAGATGTTATTCTATCTTATATTTAGAAGTATGTGCAAATGCATATTATTAGGAGTATATATCACGTAACATATTTCATTTAAAATACTTGTAATCTATACATTGCTAATATGATCAAAGAAAATAAGATCATACTAAAAAATGTCAGGTGCACGATTCCAGATTTTTGCTTATGAAAGTAAAATGTCAAATGTTTTACCATCGTTACACTTAAAATGATTTATTTATTCACCATTGTTGCCCAAAAATAATTGTCAGACAATTGATGCACATCATAGAACAAATTAAACATAAATAAAAAAAATCATGTGAGTAGCATATAATATAAATTAAAAAGGTAGATTAATAGACAGACATACGCAATAGCAATTCCTAGATTAGTTCCATACAAACATTTGTTGGGTTGTGTATATGTACTATTCAAGCTGCCAAGCTGCCCTAAGATTTCTCGATCGAGTTTAGCTGAAGAGAACTGCTCGAGATCGGAAAATGGCTCAAATAATTTTCTAGTTAAACCCGACATTGCAATTGTCTAGTTAAACCCGACAGTGCGTTTATAATTTGGGTATAGTTAAACCCGACATTGCATTTATAATTTGGGATGAACTCGAACTCTCATAGATGGCATAAGCCGCTAGAGTCCAGAACAAGTACAAAAAGGATTTACCACTAGAGTCCAGAACCGGTGAAAGGAGGGTTTGATTACAAGTAACAGAGCAAAGGCGAATTCCAATTCAAATAGATAAGAAACGGCAAGAACCTCAGCCAATCTCTTCTCTATCTATCCCTATCTCTTCTTCTACTATTATAAAAATTACTAGCAAAATGCCCGTTGCAATAATGTCCGTGCGTTGCAATGGGTGAAAATAATCTATCTATTATATGATAAAGATAGCTTAGCAATGATACTGTGTTTGCTTTGGTCGCCTAAAAATTTTACATTGATTAATGAAAAAAATAATAGTTGTATTTGTATATACATAATACAATAATTATATTTAGTACAAATGTCACAAAACTATAATTATTTGGTCAAATCCTATCATGTTTTTAAAATATGTTACAAATATATTGTGACATTATACCTCACTGTAACCGCGGTTACCACGATAACCGTCTTACCGTGGGGTCTTACCATGGGGTGGCGGTAACCCCATCCAAAACAGTTTGGTGAACCTGAGCACATCTAGCTTTTAAAGATCCATTGTGTGCTTTGTGGAAAAAAACAAAGAAATAACTTCAAGCAGAACTATCGAGAAGAGGAACCTATATAAAGTGACTCGATTCTTATTCTATATTATTTGGATCAAATATCTCATTCTATATTATTTGGATTAAATAGGCCGTGCGGTTACTATATACAACTAGACAATTGAGGACTACAATATTTACACTAATATTAATATTATTTTCAATTTTCATTCTATATTATTTCGATCAAATATCTCATTCTATATTATTTGGATTAAATAGGTCGTGCGGTTACTATACAACTAGACAATTGATGACTACAATATTTACACTAATATTAATATTATTTTATCCAAATATTGGTTAGTGATATGAGAAACATGGACGTGAATAGTGCAGAACTATCGAGAAGAGGAACCTAGATAAAGTGACTCGATTCTCATTCTATATTATTTGGATGAAATATCTCATTCTATATTATTTGGATTAAATAGGCCGTGCGGTTACTATACAACTAGACAATGGATGACTACAATATTTACACTAATATTAATATTATTTTATCTAAATATTGGTTAGTGATATGAGAAACATGGACGTGAATAGTACCTTTACTAGTAAGCATGACAAATGAAAAGAGGAAATTTAAAGGGCTTTTAATATTTTAAAATATAATGGAATTCTCTACTATGATTGGAACTTCGGGATAGATCCGTTGCATATTAAATTAGAAATTTCAAAACCATTAATATATTGTACGAAAGAGTTTTATGGTCATTTAACTAATTTTTGTAATAATCATATAAATATCCTAGATTGTAAAGGAGATGCAAATTACATATATGGGCTAAGGGCAAGGAATAAACAAGCGCGCCAACTGATGGACCAATTTTATTGTAATTTCTAATCATAATCTCTAATCTATTGTAATTCATTGATAATATTTTTTTGCAAGGAACTCACTGGTATTATTATGTAGACAACCTATTTATAATTTCATGTGTAGCTTATTGAAATCAATCGAGGTTTGGCAGCCTCTTGTCCTCATCTGCACTACAACAAAACCAATCATGATTACACAAATCATTGACCATGCAATGATGCAAAATGATAGTAAGTTATAGTGTGTATTCTCATTTCCGAGCTCATACAAGCAATTTTTACACAAGGCTAATAGAAAAATATAAGTATATAGCCCATAGTACGATGTCTATTCCAGCTCTGCCATGACATATGGACTAATGTCATACCATTGCTACCAAAGTAGCATGGATGATATTCCATAAAAAAGTAGCAAGGACGATACAACAATCTCACTGTACGATAGTGAAACAACAAATAGCTGGAAAGATGGGCAATTCCTATTTGTATACAGTGTACCTACTTGGACAGGAAACTCTGAAAAAAGAAATCAGTATCACGAACGGGAACCTCTGCTCAACGGTGTTGTCCTATGAAGTCACCTCGAGAAACAATTCAGCACCCCGACTGCAGCACTTGCGATGATAATATGGCATGTTTTGTGAAAATATGAAACAATTCAAAGAACATCTTTGGCTAACTTTAATGGTACATCTACGGAATGTAGGTCATTCGACGGTGCTGGCAGCAAGTGTTTGTCCTCCTCATTGTTGTCACTAACTGTGGATATTGAATCCAAATCATCATCTGGATCATGAAAAGAAACCAATCAATCGACTGCAACTGGTGGTTAATAAATTTCTAACAAAAACCAATTGTACATCACATATAATAATAACAGAGGATTTCTTTTTTCTGGAAGGAAACAATAGAGGGAAAAATTAGGAAGATACTGACCAGCTACTGGACGAAGAGTTGGGACACGCCCAACAGGAGAAACCTGGACACTTTCTGGTAGAAGACAATCAAAAAATGAACCTACAGATTCAATCAAAAAAAAAAATTCAATTGCTTACGATGTTCACCAATTCAGGAAGTAAAACACATGCTAGCAATACCAACCTACTCTTGCTAGCCGATTCACCCAGCTAGGTATGGGTTTTCCAGTCAAGTTCTTACACACATCATCCGTGAAGTGATTGCAATTCTTTGAAACCAAATGATATGAGTTGCCATGGTATTTCCCTGCAAGCTTTTCGATGAACGAGCGATACTCTCCATGGGACATGTCAGTTGTGCCTAGCCACACCGTCTTTCTATATATAAAGCCAGGGCAGCTTTTCGATTCCACCTCAAAAACACCACTTGATGGGAAATCATGGGCTCCAAATCCATATTCCATGCCATGAACTGCTCATTTGAGACAAGAAAAATAAATAACAACTTGAGTTCATAATTCTGTGAACTACCTAGATCACGACATGACAGTCAGATAGTAAAAAGGGAAATATAATCGATAAGAAAAAAAATTTTAAACGCGCCGTGCTTGCTTTAGCCGGATAGTAGAAATCATATATCCAAATAGGGCTATGATTCATTTTGAGGTTCCTATGCATTGCAAACTGCTTGGCAGGCCACGGTTTAGTGTTTTTTTTTCCCTTCGTGAGATTCTGACATAAGTGATCATTTTCCTTTGAAAAATAGCATTAAAAACTAACTACATGCATAATTATCCTTCCAATTTTGCTACCATTTGCTACCAAGACTTACATTGTCTCTGTTTTCCCCTTTCCCCATTATTACTGTACGTCCATCAGCAAGAGCAAAACTGAGTTGCCCTACAATTAATTGCAATAGGTACTGAAACATCTAATTTGATCCTACAGCAGAATAATAAAATGATTTTTTATTTTAACAAAGCATCATCATGATCGATAATTTGTTCGAGAAATAGAACATCAATCTTTTTTTGCAACAGAGTGGCGACCAATATAACACGATGAAGATTTGGCCCAATCAAGAGATAAAAGGGGAACGGAGAAGAATGCATGTAATCGAACCTTCGATTCCCGAGTGGAAGACGCCGAAGCCGAGCCAGTAGAGGTAATCGTTGGCGGGCGTCAGGTCGTAGACGTTGAGCAGCACCGGTGTCGCCGTGCCTTTGTTCCCGGTGTCCATCTCCACCCCGCCGCCGGCGAAGCCCGCCCACCATCAACGGGCAAGGCTAGGGCGTGGATCCATGCAGCGGACGAGGGCGGCCACTTTTTCCCCAATTCACTTTTTTTTAGGAGACTACGCATCATGCGCCTGATAAAACGCAAAACATCTTGTGCCCTTCCTCCCCTTTTGTTCGCAGCTCGTGTCCTTGGCTTGATACTATACCCGTTGTCTCTCTGACCTCTCTCTATAATAATTTCCATAACAAAATTTTAAATTTTTTTCTTCTAATTTACTATTATCTAATCTATAGTTTTATTATATAATTGTATTCGTTACATTAAATCTTTTTACAACAGTATATTACATGATTATATTTTAGAAAATGCCTTGAATCGGTACATTGATTGAGCCAACAAAAATCGGGCTCATGCACGAAGCTATAGCTAGAAGCTAGCTAGTTTATAGCTTCCCACATCCTTTGTTTAAATATTTGTTTCCTAAACTAATTGTCCGATTTACGATCCGATCACACCGTTGTATTCATTGTAATTAAATCTTTCCAACAATATATCGTATAGTTATATTCTGATAAAAGAAAAACATATATTTCAAACTATTAAAACTCAATGGTTCATGCGTGATATGGACATGGTTCAATGTACGCATTTACCATGTTTCATAAAATTCACACAATTAACTACACATACTTTCTCTCTCTCCTCTAGATTGCATGCATCTAGTGACCTTCAAAATGATTTTTCTCCTAAACTATTTATCTAATCTATGATCCGATCATATCGTTGTATTTGTTGCAATTAAATCTTTACAACAAGATATCATATGATTATACTATGATGAAAAACCCCATATGTTTCGGTTTGTTAACACTCAATGTTTCATACGCGATAACAATATGTTTCAATGTGTCTCTTCACTGTGTGTTTAAAAAAAATAATGTTTCAGTGACTGATTTTTTATTTTACCATGTATATCTCAATGTTTCACCGGTAGTCAACTGAAATATTTAACCGTCTGAAGCTTGATGTTATTGAAACATTTTCTATATCATGTGTAAAATATTAAGTTGTACTAACTGTTTAAACATTATAAAATACTTAGTGAAACACTAAAAGAAAACCAACTGCAACGCTTATAAATTAAACAGGTGAAGCATCGTAAAATACTAGTAGTTGAAACTTTATAAAACGTGGTGCAATATTTAAAAATCACTAAGAAGATAAATATTGTTTTCAATGGAATATAACCATGTGTGGTCTTGTTGTAAAGATTTAATCATAACGAATTTAACGGTGTACTCGGATCATAAATGAGATAAATATTTTACAAGAAAAAACATTTTAAAGTTTAAAATATTTTGTTCTTGGGCTGCGTGCCTGAGCGTAAATCTACCTCATCCGCATGGAGAGAGCCTCTTCAATCCAACGGACGCATGCAAATTTGCCCAGATAAGATGGTGTAGCTAGTGCCCGATATTTTCCTCCCGGATCGGGTGCCCAACGCGGAGTTCTCTCCTTATATTTTATCAAAAACTTGAGCTTGCTAAGTGTTTACATGGCATAATCTTTACAAAAACTTTCTTTACCAACATGTCTTAAAAAAAAGAACTTTTAAATCAACTTTCTAATATTTAAATCTCTTATTTATGTGAAATGTTATAGACTTTATTTATAATCATTATCCATCAAAACTTTAGAGAACACAACCTTAAACTCGATTATCCATTATTCATCAAAGTTTAAAATCGAAAAAAAAAGTGAGTCTTCAAATGCAGCTAAAAAACTGCAGCAATATCACTCCCTCCAAATCAGCACATGCATGCACAATCGGAGCACAACTTTTATCTGTACTATTATAAAATTGAAGATGTTTTTCTGGTATTTTGTTACGTAATTCGTATATGAGTCTGAATTTTAAGTTCGTTCGCTTTTGAAAATATATATCCGTATTTGAGTCGATTTTTAAGTTCGTTTGCTTTTAGAAATGCAAAGGAGTCGTATAGAAATCCCTTAAAAAAACTCGCATGCTAACTTTAGACGATCAGATTCCTAACTGCAGCTCATTATTTTCTAAGAAAATATATATCCAAACGAATTCCCACAGTGAATTTTACTTTAAATAAACCGTATAACAGTAATAAAATTAAAATAGCATTTATCTGTTGTAACGCATGGACATTTCTTCTAGTCGGGAAAAAAATAAAATCGGAGCAGAATTCAAATCGTAAAGTCTGAGCAGCACAACAATCGTGTGCTGTGCTGACGACAGCCATGGGCCACACTCTCCCATTCTGGCCCAACTATCCCGCTCCGGCCTAATAATAATGGGGCTTCACGCAGCCCACGATCTCGTTACGGCCCAAGGCCGGTGGGGAGAAGGGGCATAATGGTCTTTTGCTTCACGGTCCCCGGCCCTAAGCCTCTCACGGTTCGGGTTCTCCCTCACACACTGAACACCATGGCGGCGGCGGCGGCGGCTCCGGCTCTATCCTTGGCCGAGGCGGCGCCGGTGACAGCAGTTCTGGCACCGTGTCCCACGCCCTCGAGGACGTTCCGCCGCCGCAGCTGGGTCGCGGCTATCTGCCGGCCCGCCCTGAAATGCCACCACAGTCGTCCCCTGACCGCCGTGGTCGCCGCGGCTGCGGCTGCCGCTGCGGCGGGGGACTCGACGTCGGCCGGCGTATTCCACGGCGAGTGCTTCGTCGTGGGGGATAACATCGACACCGACCAGATCATCCCGGCCGAGCACCTGACCCTGGTCCCGTCCAAGCCCGACGAGTACCGCAAGCTCGGCTCGTTCGCCTTCGTCGGCCTCCCCACCGCGGCCTACCCGACGCCGTTCGTCGCCCCCGGCGAGGAGACCACCCGCTACGCCGTCATCATCGGCGGCGCCAACTTCGGCTGCGGCTCCTCCCGCGAGCACGCGCCCGTCGCCCTGGGCGCCGCCGGCGCCCGCGCCGTCGTGGCCGAGGGCTACGCGCGCATCTTCTTCCGCAACTCCGTGGCCACCGGTGAGGTCTACCCGTTGGAGCTAGCGGACACTGGAGCCTGGAAGGAGTGCAAGACCGGGGATGTGGTCACGGTGGAACTTGATAATTGCGTCATGATCAACCACACATCCGGCAAGCAGTACAAGCTGAAGCCTATCGGCGATGCCGGGCCGGTTATTGAGGCAGGCGGGATCTTTGCCTATGCCCGGAAGACCGGAATGATCGCATCCAAGTCTGCGTGAGGGAAAGGTAGGACATTTCAATCGTCATATTAATTTTGTTCTAATTCCTATTAAGCAACAAAATTTCATCTTTTATTACTGATTTCTATTATGTAAGTTCTGCTACTATAACCCCAGGATTGATCGATAACAGGAGTAACAGTTGGGGAGCAACAGATTTATGCATGTTGTTCTCCAACTGCATCTGGTAGTTTCCAGCTCTAGCGCAATAGCACCTATTGCAATATACTATATCTAGGTAACCTGGTTTAGGGTACAACAGTTGTGTGATTTTAAATATTATTGTTCTCTGAGAAATTTTGTTCCATGATACTAATCTAGTGTATAATATGTAGCCTATTAAGCACTGGGTAATCACCACACATTGGAAGTACTGCAGTGTTGGAATGAAAAATATGTACATTTATGTATAGCACACTTTGCTGTTGTACTGTATGTTGCTCTTGGAATAGTTTGCTGATGTCCATCTTTAAGCAATTGATTTGATTTGATACTACATTTCTGGCTGCTCTGAGTGTTCTACTATGCTGGTGATTGTCTGATGAGCTAGTTTTTCTACTCATTTTGAAATAATGCTTGGCTGAAATTTCATACATTGAAAAGTGAAACTTGAAACCCTAGTCATGCAGTGTTTAAATTGATGCATTGTTGATAGTCCATTTCTGAGAGCTGTGGCTTCCCAGAGGCTAAGAGCAAACAGATAGGGCTTAAATTTTACTAGTACATGATGCAGAGCATTTCAGATCAAGTTTCTCTCTGTGTCTTTGCTTTATCATTAAACACAACCCAATTACCAAACAGTTCCATCCCTTACAGTAGTTTGAAAGTGAATAAGTGATGTCTGCCCTTCATCCAAACTGTATCAAGATAATCCTTCTATGGCTCAAACTACATGGGTTCTCTTCCCCTATTGAACCTGGGGTTAATTGGATCCATGCCATTGCAAATTTGCCTATTCAGAAAAAAACCATTACAATTCGTCTATTTATAGCCGTGCCATTGAAATTTTACAAAATTAGAACCGTGACACTGCCGTCATGTTTTCCATCCATCTCCTTTCTTTTCCGTCTTCTTCCTTCTTTCTCCCGTCTTCTTCTCTATGAGCAGGAGCAGATTTTTTCGCAAACAGGAGGAGATGCTTTCTGTGAAAACAAATTACATTCGCAAGCTGAATTACAGAGGAACGGACTTGTTTGTTCTGCTGATCAGGCAGCCTTGGGCAGCCGGATAGTTGTGGCCGCCGACGGCAGTGACGGCCTGGCCGCCGGCGGGGACAGGGATGGGCACGACGCCATGCGTGAGCATGGACTGGTAGATCTCTACGAGCACCTTCTCGCCGTACTCCTTGAGCTGCCGCGGCCGCACGAAGGAATACTGGCCCGCGGTGCAGTAGGGCGTGCCGGCGACGACGCCAGCCACAGCATGGCCGAGACGTAGGCGTCGTGGAGGAGCACGAGCCACTGCAGCGACGACAGCACGGGGAGCACCCTCCTCCCTAGGGCTGTGCTGCACGTGCCACCCATGGCTCCGCGTGTGGCGAGGGCCCTCCTGCTGCTACTGCGTCGGCGCGACGCTGTGACGCACTCCTCCGAGCTCCGCAATGGGGAGCGTCGCTGGCGGCGGCGGCGTCGAGGCGGTAGTAGCCGGCGATCTGGGTTCCTTGGTTTGCTCTCTTCGCCGGCGATCTAGAGAGGAGAGAGAAGACTGGATAAAGAAGATGAAAAATCAAGGAGATGGATGGAAAACATGACGGTAGTGGCACGATTCTAATTTTGTAAAATTTCAGTGGCACGGCTACGAATAGACGAATTGTAATGGCATTTTTCTGACTAGACAAATATGCAATGGCATGCCATGGATCCAATTAACCCTTGAATCTGTGCCTTACCTGAATCTCGAGTTGGCAAGGTTGGCATCTCCCTTCACCTTTTTTTTTTTCAATGGGATTCTAAGGTTATATAAGCATTTTGCATGTGTTTTATTGTATTGTTTATCCAATTTCTCGTTCCATTCTACTCATAAGATAGATTCTTGCAGTATTTCATCATAAAAACTAATGTCTTGATGTGCAAAGCTGGATCTACATGAATTCAGCAATGACTTTGAAACAATTTTCTCAACATAGCTTAAAACATATATCAAAATTTCAAGACTTTGATTCTGTAGATGCAATTTCCTGTAATCTGCTGTTGTTGGACAATCATCCTTTTTATTTTCTGTGGACATTATCAAGGACTAGACTGTTCGGATGACCTTGTCTGAATTCCATACAGCTGAAATTTGGTGTAACTTAGTTTAATTTCATTAAACATCACATCAATTTCATTCGGCAGTCGGCACTGGATGCAGAGTTCCACCTTGCTTTGATGCAATGTCAAGATTCTTTTTCTTTCACAATTTTACTGCCATACGCTGATGACGTGTCATTGAACTTACAGGCGAGTTTGGTCTGCTGTCAAGATAGTCGAGGCCTCTGCAGATAGCAAGTAAGACTGGGTTGTGGATTTGAACCTATTGCACCTCTATGCGATTGTCCATCAGTTGTACTGCTGTTTTTACCTAGGTTGTGTGTCATCAGTGGTGTTTTTGGAATAAGTTAAAAGTTACAGAGTACTGAACTATGATGTATTAGTCCATGTGATCTTATGTAACACCTTATGTAATACACTCGTTTATACCTGCCGATTTGCCTATCTCGTTTCGATAATATTGTTTCTTATACCAAAGAAATTATCATTATATAATGGCAATTCATATTCCTGTTTCAAAATAGGAGACTTTGATTTAGGCTCAACCATTCTATGGTGAATAGGATGCCCAGCTGCTCGTTATGGATAAAACCAAGTTTGGTGCTTTGAAAGAAAAAGAGTTTAAGTGAATTTCACATGTCATGGAGGGCCATTTTATCTGACTTTCTAGATAGAACATCTCCACTGTAATGCATAGTAGGCATTTGGACAGGGTCTACAAAATGTGAGGCTACATTTGACTCCAAATTACGGACTGACTCCAAAATGTGAGTATGGCAGATGGCAACACTGCACAACATGCATTTGGAATTACACGCAGCATATCCGTTTAGAATTATTTGTACGGCCGTTTGATTTGTGATAAAGTTCAGTACTGCTACAGCTACAGCAAAGTGCTGCTATTTTCATTGCATTTGTTCTCTATTTCTCTCACATCTCCAATGCCCTGGACAGAGGCCCAGTTCTTTTCCCCTTACAGATTATAGATAATCACATATACACTTTTCAAACTCCTAAACGGTTTGATTTTACAAAATTTTGCGTGTACAAGTTGCTTAGAATACTTTCTAAAAACATTTTTTGCACTTTATAGTAATTAATTTATTTACATGTACCCTCAAATATTACACCAAAATCAGATAATCTATTTCACACCACATGGTAGCGGCAATGTATTTGCTTTTGGCTGGAACTGACCAAATTGAAGGCCTGAAGCCACTGTCGGAGCTAATGTACACCTCTCTAGCTCTCCCATACGTGATACCAGTTACGACCGTGTTCATCTGGAAACGGTACACCACTTGGACGGTCTCTCGCCCTCATACGTGATAGCTACGACCTTTCACCTGCAAAACGGGATACAATCTGGACGGCCTCTCGTTGCAATGTGGATATAACTTCGGATTTCCCGGCCCAAAGCTGTCACGTAGTGGCCCTCTACCCCAAAATCTCACCTTGCTGACACGGTGACACCACCCCCAGCCGCGAACGGTGAACGCCCGGGGCAACCGTGTGCACATACCAACAACCACCCGGTCAGCCCGCCGCCACCGTACATGACACCAGAGTTTACGACTCCGAGTATCGGATCAAAACCGCTCAAGAGCGGTATTTCACGAAAACTATTGATAAACCGATAAAAACTAATAAAATCCAAACAAATATTACCAAAACTTAATAGTTCAGTTCGATTTTTCTTATAAAAAAAGAACTTAATCGAAATATCGGTATATTTGTGTTTTCGACCCCGTTCGAATCTGCTTATCGGATTAAGATTAAGTGCGCACGTAAAACGAGATAAGTTATTAGCATATGATTAGTGAAGTTTTAATTATTAAAAAAATTGAAAATGGATTTATTTGTTTTTTTATAGCAACTTCTATATAGAAAGTTTTGGGAGAATAGCTACTTTAGTCACTAAAGTTTATCTGTAGGATCAGTTTAGTCCCTAACATTTTAAATGGTCGAAAGAAATTCTTAACTTTTGTCATAAGGCCTAGAATAGTTCTTGGGTCCATCAAAATCATCATATGGATATGCCATGTCATCATTCATGCAAAATCTATGATGAATTGTTCAATTTACCCTTACATATATCGTAGAAAAATAAATATAAGGGTGAATTAGACATAACCATAGAAAAAATACTTCTTTTTTTTCACCCTTTTGAGGTATATTTTTGCTCTTACATATACCATATATTTTTTAACTTTTTCTTTTGTTTTTTATTTTCCTATGCGTAAGGGTAAATTGGACAAATCATATAGATTTTGCGTACGAAGGTGACATGGCATGTCCATGTGGTGATTTTGGTGGGACCAAGGACTATATTAGCCCACATAACAAATTTAAAGGACTTGTTTAGACAATATGAAAGATTAAGTACTAAAATGACCCAGGAGCGAAACTTTAGGGACTATATTAGCTATTCTCCTGAAAGTTTTCGCACAAGATACGCCGTTTAGTGAAAAGTGTGCTAACGGAAACCGAGGAAAAATCTTGATGTTGTTGGAGTTTAGAACGGAAACCGAGGAAAAATTTTTGATGTTGTTGGAAAAATCCGGGTTTTCAGTTTCCACGGGGATTGTACAGATCACGGCAGCCTCCAGCCAAAATCCGCCGCGCGCGCGGGCGCGGCGTACGTGTGCGCGGTAGCAACAGAGGTTGTGACTTGTGCGGCTGCCCGCGCCTTGCCGGCGCGCGCGGCGGCGGCGGCGACGCGAGGCGTTTACACCCAGCGAGGAGCATCAGAAAATGTTTCGCAAGCTCTCATCTCTCCCTATTATTATTGGTCTCGCAAACACTTTTTTTGGTGTCAGATCACCGGCCTGTTTCACGGGATCACAGAGAGACAGAAGCAATGCCGATCGACGGATCGAGCCGAGCGAGCGTGCGTGTGTACGGGGTTAACCTCAAACCGGCAAAGCTGATGGCATTAATGGGCTCGCAAATTGGAGCTACTAGTACTGCTGCTGCGCCACGGAAAACGATCGACGGCGGGGCAGTTACTGTAGACACTGACAACAAGGTCTCGCATGCCGTCGATCCGCATCATGGATTCGATTTACGAGCGCGACTACTGCGGAACACGACGTAGCGTCTCGATTACTGCTCACTCCAGAACGTCAACGTTGCGTGAAGACTTCATTACTGTAGCTGCCGCCAAGTAGCTACTCCCTTCATTTCACATTATAATCATTTCATATTATAAGTCGTTGTGACTTTGGTAAAAATTAAACTGCTCCATATTTAATTAAGTTTGTAGAAAAAACAGTAACATTTTTAACCCAACAAGTATATTATAAAAATATATTCAATTATAGATTTAATGTAACTAATTTGGTATTATAAATATTAATATATTATCTATAAACTTGATTAAACTTAAAATAGTTTAACTTTGATCAAAACTAAAATGATTATAAAATCTGAAATAGCGGGAGTAGCTGACTTAAAACTGGTGGCTTGGGGAACACCTGTTTCGCTCTGATTGTCAATGTTGTTGTTGGGATCGGATGCCGACCGATGCCGTCTGTCGATCTCACTCTGCTGCTACACGTTTGGTTTGCAGTGTGCCGTGTGGCTATCTTCGGAGGCTGGGGTTTTGTGGCCGGACAACAGTTCAGATACACGTACGCACGCGTACAAAACTCGTGATCCGAGATTATTTGTCACGCACGCCGTATTCAGTATTGTTTGCCAGAAAACATTAGTAGTACTTGCATATAGATTTCTGTTTGTAGTTTGGAACAACCATTTTGTTATTTCCTCTTTTCATCTCAAGGACAACGCAATTTGCATGCCAAAGTTTCAGGCAACGTATTTTACATGCGTAACAGCGTCTGTACATTGTGCAGGCACGCGTAGTCGATGTGCAGCATGCAAGGTTGAAGCTAGCAGTACCAATCATTCAGCAGACAGTTCTTGGTTGTTTTTTTTAATTAGTTTTTCTCCCATGGCGAGAGCGACATGAATAAAGAGAAACTTAAGTCAAACTCTTACTCTCGATAGTCTGCTGGGCACTGTACATGTACGGCAGAGGTCGTCTCTCTAGGGTCAATTGGTTTGATTTGACAACGTCTGACGACAGTTCATGATCGCATGTCAACCATTGAATTATTTGTAAGAATGCAGTTAATTGCAGGAGACAGTGGATCAGACCAAGACACATATGCACATCAAAGTAAGGTTCTCTTGGTTAACATTTTTCTTGGCCCTCTATCTGCTTGCAGTCCCTTTCTTGCAAGAGCTCGTCGTCGTCATCATCTCCTGGTTCCAGCCTCAATCTGCCAACGGTGAGCAGATTCTCTAACAAGATTTCTGACTTTTTTGCTTGCACACATAAAGAAATAAAAATAGAGCGATATCGAGAGATTGGAATGCAGGCGTATTTATTGCAGATTAGCTAGCCCTTCGATCGCTATCGCTTTGACCTTGATGATGTAGCCATGTACTGTAAAGCCTCTCGCTTTCCTCTCACCTTTCTGTTTCTGATTCTCTGAATTGCCTCTCGTGATTATGAAACGAAGAAAGTTGATGCCAAAATGAAGTGAATTCTATGGGTTTGTGCCTCATTCGAGTGTTCAATCTGTCAACTAAAACTAGCCAGCAAAATTACAGTGGACGCTGACTTTTAATTGCTCCGACAAAAGACATAATGAGAGCGTTGAGACAGAGAAGATTAATATATTTAATCTCAAGAAATTTATTCAATATGCAGAAAAATAAGATTATTTCCTGTAAAGATTCGTTCTAGAGCCTACTGGAACATTGTTTCGTAGTACTACTAAATTAACCTACTCCTGATAATACTAGTAGCAAACTTAGTTTCAGGATCTCAATTTGAATCCCGTGTACTTCTGAACCATGGTTAAATTGACTCTAGGCTGTGCTGAAACAGCATTCAGGTTTACTTTGAACCGGCTCATGTCCGATTGGCTCTGACCATATATACCCATTCGAAATTCTTCCTCAGCTACTCTCTCAAGTCCAATTCTTCATCAACTTGTCAAAAGGCTGTATGAAATAGCACCTTGCTACTAGCACCACCTTGCCATTAGTATTGTTTGTGTACGATATGAAACGTCAAAACTCCCCTGTGCCGCTTTAACTAACTGCCTACGAACGCATCAACAGCGACAAGGCCAGCACGGTCCCCTGCTAGCTACAGCTTCAATTCGATCGCACACCGCAAAGGCCGTAAACAGCTTGACCGGCCGGTCTCTGATCACCTCATGATTATAGCGGTCAAAATTTCTGGTTTTTCTTCGCCCGGTTGACGCCGCTAGCTCTTGATCGATCGATCCTGGGTCGGTAAGTTTTTGCGGCTTGTTACGTCGGTTTTTGCTGCTACCAACGCCGCCGCTGCCGCCGCCGTCGTACGCTTTTTTAGTCTGATGGTGAACGGGGGAGTAGGGCGTATCGAACTTTGGACGTGTTGGTTACGGGCTAGTGTTGTAGAGCGATTACTTTTGGTCAGAAAAATTGCGAGTGCATTCTTCGGCCATTTTAGCCTTTACCCTGTCTCGGATGGAGTACCTATGTCCTATGGCAGCCTGTTCGGCTGTGCTCCATGAAAATTCAGAGCCAATTTGACATGTGATTTGGGCCAGCATGTTTCAAACATGGTTTCTGATTGTCTCTTTCACACACAGATACTCCCTCCATCCTAAAAAGAAAAAAAAAAGACAAACTCTAGGTTTCCGTGTCCAACGTTTGACTGTCCTTCTTATATGAAATTTTCTTATAATTAGTATTTTTATTATTGTTAGATGATAAAACATGATTAATACTTTATGTGTGACTTGCCTTTTTAATTTCTTTCATAATTTTTTCAAATAAGACGGACGGTCAAACGTTGGACACGGAAATTCAGGGTTTGTCTATTTTTGGATGGAGGGAGTACGCGCCTAGCTAGCTAGAAGCCTAGAACCATTTCCGTTTTGATTTCTGTAACGGAAAGCAAGGGAAAACGACCACAATATGGGGGTATTTTCCCTTTGTTCGTGTAGTAGGGTATAATTCTCAACGCATCAACGGCCCGGTCGATCGATTGATCAATGCTTCATTTCTTGACCAGCATGCTGACATATACTGCACCTCGTGCATCGGGATCGATGCACGTGAATGCTACACGAACAAAGTTCCCCTATAGATGAGCACTTTGATCTCTTCAACGTGGAGCCGTTGACTGTTGAAACTGAACTTACTTTATGTTCGTTGGAGTGATGCAGGCTAAGCCACCTCATTCACTGACGACACGTTGTCCTGCAGTACCAAATTTCTTGCTGGACCAAGTACATGGAGACGATCTGTAGTTATCCTTTCTGTCAGTTGAGTTTGGATGCGGTAGTGTGATATATGAAATCACGGGAGTGAGGTTAATTTCACTGCATCTCTTTGTACAACACACAGATATTGGCTCCATTCTCAAATAGATAATGTTGCATAATATGCATAATTAAACCTCAAAATATCTAATCTCTAATATGCATGTACAGATTGAAAGAAGGATTTGATATATGGAGATATATAGTACTCCCAGCGTCCCAAAATATAAACATTTTTGGCATAGTAACAAGTTAAATATTTTTCACTTTAACTATTAATAACGAAAAAAATAAAAAAGATTAATCATGTCAAATTGATGTTACTAGATTTACCATTAAACAAACTATCATAATATGCAAATCTTTTTGTTTAAAACATCTTATTTTTATAGATATTATTGGTCAAAGTAACATCTCGAAGATCGTGTCGAAGTTTAAAAATACTTATATTTTGGGATGGAGGGAGTATATATTAGTGTTCTTGATAACATCTTTCGTATTGTTTTCTTTTTGACATATTTGTTTTATCTAAAAAATAAATTTAGAAGACAGAAAAACCAATGATTAAAAATATGTTTATTGGATCAGTGTTCTAAATTACAACTTAAAAAAAGAGGGAATACGTACTTCCTCTGTTCCCTCGCTAGGTAAGAAAAAAATAAGCAGCAGCTTCATGCCATCTTCCATAACAAGTGACCAATACTAATCCGTAGGGCATCGATCCTTTCTCAATGTAATTAAAATTAGATCATGATCGATTAGGTTATTCCAGTCGTGCAAAGAAACTGACGCCGAGCAACCATGTGGCAGTAAACTCACTTTGTTGTGGCTATCTGGATTCTGTTCTGACTTATGACGAATTGACGATATAACTCAATAGTATTTTACCAGCACGTAATCTTGACAAGAGTTGACATGATTGCATATATGCATGCATGAGACTTATCTAAAGGGTTTTAAGCTTCGTTCAAGGCCCATTTTTAATTTGGGTTGATGCTAGCTCAAGACTCAAGTAGTCAACAAAGCAAACACATGCAAACTTTTTTACCTATGTGCAAACCTCATCTGTTTCTGATATCATATTCCGTATATCATTAGCTTTTTAAAGGTGTATTACCCTTTGGCCACTCATATAGTTTGACTAGCTTGAATTTACATTGTGGACATCAATATGACATTATATGATAGGAGGCTGGAACTTAAATTTTTTGGCGACAACATAAAAATTCACATGCAATCCACAAATTAAACACGCTACTGTATATCAGTGTCAACTGTTTGAAACACACTACATTCAGACCAACACCTATAGTAAGTACGTACGTACAGATCAATAGTATGTACGTGTGTTTCTTTCAGAATTACTGGTGACAGTTTAGACTTATTGCACATATGAACACGTCCAAGAAAATCAAATCAAGTGTGGACATCGTTTGAAATTCTAACTCAGTTCAACCTCTTGATTGTTAGCTGTGTGCATCACACATGCATGACTCACGCTGTAGATGAAATCGATGTATGCATACGTCTAGTATGTGATTACTGATTAGTACGTATGCACATGTACTAGATGATGACTTGTAGTGTGAGATCGACCTGTATGGCATAAGGTTGTTGCTTGAAGTTAACCAGAATTGTTTCCGTTTCTGCAAGAATTAACATCTAAACGGAAATGTACAATATCTCATTTCGATGTGGCTAATTAAACTACACTTCTGGCCAGAGCTAGTCGATCCAAAGCACAGAAGATATATATGGAACTTTTTCTCGCAAACGGCATTTACAGCATCTAGATGCATATGACTAAAATCTTGTGCGTTGTACATGTCTCCTACCCTGGCTATTTGAAGACTCGGAAGTCATAATCAAATTTATGGCGCAAAAAGGCAAACACAACTGGATAGACACCGATTGATCGATCTGATCCCAAGAAAAGAACATAAAACAAACTAGTACACATTTACTCTTCATTTAATTAATTAATTTACAATGTTATTATCACCCATCCTATACTATTATTTCCTCTTATTATTTTCAAGATATCTAGAGTGTATCTCCAACACCTATGTCGATGCACACATTCAGTACCCGTCACATGCATGCGCTAATATACTATCTTCTCTCCTCTGTACAGTATAGTACACTGCTCCAAGCCAAATCTCCTGAGATGTGTCCAAAGCGAAGGCCGTCGAGAACTAGAAGCCACTAATTAATTGCCGATTATTGCGCCTAATTAATCATGCTTAGAGAGATCATTAGCGCGCTTAATTAGTTTACGGCGACCTCCGGGAATCCCATTTGCGGGTGCGGCGAGAGCGGCGAGAGGATGCCGAAGAACCCCTCCAACTGATCCCACGACCAGCTCGACGGCATCGGTGGGACGAACAGCTCGCCGCCGCCGCCGCCGCAGGCAGCTGCCTCCGACGAGGGGGAAGGCGACGTGGATGATGATGTCACCGTTGAGGTTGTCGTTGAGGCCAGCGACGACGACGCCGGCGATGTGTACGTCTCGGTCTTGACGGATTTGGATGATTCTCCGATCACCTCGACGTCCGGGTCGGCCGCCGCCGTCTCGTGCCGCTTCCGTTTGCCGTGGGTCGACGTCGTCGGCGGCGGGGGCGGCGGCGGCGGTGCCAGGAAGTCGGCGCCGCGGGAGCCGACCTCGTTGGGGAAGTTGAGGATGGCCTTGGCGCCGCGCATGCGGAAGGCGGCGCGGTCGTACGCGCGCGCCGCCTCGATGGCCGTGTCGTACGTGCCGAGCCACACGCGCGAGCCCCGCTTCTTGGGGTCGCGGATCTCCGCCGCGAACTTGCCCCACGGCCGCTGCCGCACGCCGCGGTACTTCCGGAAGTCGTTCGGGTCGGCGGCCGCGGCCGCGGTCTGCGCCTGCAGCAGAGCGGCCGGGTGCACCGCCTCCGCCGCCGCCCACGCGTGCGACGTCGGAGGCAGCGAGATCGTCAGGGGCGGCCTCCGGGGGTCCGACACCGGGGACACCTCGCCGCCGAACCGTATCATCACCGGCTCCGCCGCCGCCGCCCGGTAGACCGCCTCCGCCTCGCCAGCGGCGGCATGCGCACCCAAATACTGATCATTCGCCATGTCCACGTACCCAGCCGGTGTCATCGTCATCGGCTGCTGCGGCAAGAACGCCGCGGGATGGAAACCCTGCTGATGCTCGGCGAACGCGGCGACGCCATCGTGATGAACTGCCACCGGGAGGCACGCGTCGGCCTCGACCCCGAGCAGCTGATCGTGGAGGAGCTGGAGGGAGATCAGGTCATCGATGTCGCCGCTGAAGTCCATGGCGCTCTGAGGCGGCGGCGCAGAATTGAAGCGGAGAGGTCGTCGTGGAGAGGAAGACGAGAGAGGAGAGGGGACTCGGGAGTTTGGAGGTGTTCGCGCAATTGCATCTGCGAGGAGAAAGCTAAGATGGGCTCCTCTACTTATAGGGGGTGACCGTTGGCGGCCGGAAAGATTTTTTTTTTCTCTCTCTCGCTCTTCCCCTTTCCGCGTTAAGCAGCAAAGAGTAATCAGAGAGAAGGCTTGCACTAATCAAAGCCACTACTAGCCTGATTTGACGAGCTGCATGTAGGGACTAGTTACTTGGGTCGTGTGATTTGATACGAAATAACTTGTGGCAATTTTGCTGTCCCGGTGTGAAAAATGAAGTCCTGTTTAGATCGCTTGACAAAATTTTTTACCCTGTCATATCGAATGTTTAGACACATGTATAAAGTATTAAATATAAACGAAAAAATAACTAATTACATAGATGGTGGGTAAATTGCGTGACGAATCTTTTAAGCCTAATTGCTCCGTGATCTGACAATGTGGTGATATTGTAAACATTTGCTAATGATGAATTAATTAGGCTTAATAAATTCGTCTCGCATTTTACAGGCGGATTCTTTGTTTTGTCATTAGTCTACGTTTAATACTTCAAATGTGTGTCCGCATATCCAATGTGACACACCAAAACTTTACACCCTTGGATCTAAACACAACCGAAATTAGAGTAGCTGTAAAATTTTCTTTTTGACTTAATTAGACTCTAAAAATGGAAAATAAATCATATAACCAAAGCAGGCTTAAGCTTTTCACTTACTATACAACTTGAATACATATGGTTTCTTATCAAACCTAGAAATATATCAAATATTAATATAGAACAGTGAAGTTAGTATTACTGGAGCTAGAAGTAATATTAATAATATATACTCCGTATGTACGAACCGGCAAAAGATTTGGGTTGAGATCATGATTCAAATTTTCATACAGAAGTTTTCGAAATTTCGCCCAAATTTCTTTTTTCTAGAATTTGGAAAATTTTGTTCAAAAATTCAAATTATCTCAGACAAATTTTTGGTCCATTCGGTAGCCCCAATAGAAATAGCTCAAATGAAATTTTAAACCCTGGTTGAGATGTATTTACTATTTTACGTAAAAAAAAGAGTAGATTTTGTAGCTATTTTCTCTATTTTGTTTTATTAAGATAAGACTTTGCCAATGATTGTTCTATTAAGATATCATTTTTTCGGACACAAGCCTCATTAAGATTTGGGTCCCAATTTTATTTAGGTTCTATGTCTTGCCCTTGCTAATTAACAAGGTTAAATGCAGTAAATTTTGTAGCTCGGATTGACTTAAGTTTGTAAAATAGTGAGACTATTAGATGAAAGTAAATTAAACATGTTCACCATAGTTTCATGCGTGCTAAATATATAGTTATAAAGAAATTCTAAAAATCAGACTTCATAGACGATTGTGATGTTAATATCACTATATAAACTTGCAAGATCAAATTAAAATCACAAAAAATATTACACACAGTGACATGTTTTAATTATTTGACCTTTTTTCACGTAGATCGAGTTAAACCTCTCTATGTTTATAGAGGGACATATAACATAATAATTTATTCTATCTATATTTTTAAAAATATTTAAAACTTTTTGAACCACGTGTTAAAAGAAAGTGTACATTAAAATCCTTTTTCCCAACTTTTGTGACATTCATCTGTGTAACTTATCACAGAGGTACATACGGTGCATGCAGTGAGAGATGACTAGCTAGGAGTATATTCTACTCCCCATCTCGGTCAAAACTCAAAAGGGGTCGTGTTGGGCAGTTATAACTGTATAAAGGATAGCTAGATGTATAGGGCGAGAAGCGAGATAAGCATGGTTGCGTTAACTGAACCACAGAAATGACATTCCTAAATTTCTCCTACCACGTGGAGAGAGACTCAATCTGCACTCTTTTTACACGTAGATGCATGTTTCTGTTTTTTTCCTGATCTCACCAAGGGAGAAAGTCGATCCGTACCTTTTCTTTGACTAGAACACAAACTCAAACACACAACTGTTCGCATAATTACACATTCTGTATACTCATTGAACATGCGAATTTATGCAGTGTACCAACAAATTTGTTGAGGAATTATTTGTGGCACAGACATAAATATATCTAATGTACTTACCTTAGTCCATGGAAAATGTTTCCTTCTGTACCGTATCAAAATAAATCAGATCTTATCCCGGGCATGATGTCCATGTGTAAAGTATTGGGACGAGGTGGTCTGTGGACTGTGGCTAGTTTTTCATGTTTTGAATTAGAATATTAGATCCTCTGTATGCACTGCTTTATGTGGAAGGTCATTCTCAGTAGTATACCTCTGCTTACCAAATTAAATCAGCCGCAGGACAAATTAAAATGCCCCGTTAAAATCATGGTTTCACACAGTTGCCGCGATACAGCCCTGCTGATCGACTTTCACGTTTTGATCAAATCCCATTCACAACAACAATAACTTAATTAATCCATATAGACACGAAAGATTTGTGTAGGCACACTTATTAGTACTGATATATAGTACCATCTAGCTGTGGACACATGCTATAGCTAGCAGGTTAGGCCGCTTGACACGACAAATCGAACTGGTCATATTGGGTTCCAAGCAGGGGGCGCTACTGTGTACTCACCGCGAAAGGGAAGTCGGCGAGCCCGGGCGGTGCAGTGGATGTCACGATTCTCGCCTGCTAGCTGCTGTGTGTGTGACCACCATTTCACTGGTAAAATAAGAGATCGAGGTCGGAGAGCTCGATCAGGTCCATGCTTTAATTTGGTCTCGCAACTTGGCAAAATGGTGGTACAACGATCGACTATACCTGATCGACGACGTTCCCATCGCAGCGTGCCTGGCTTCCTGTCTGCAGCTATCGATCTTCTAGCTATCTCACGGCCATAATTGGCAGCACCGTTGCAGAGTGGCTAGCTAGCTAACACTTGTCACGGGCTGACTTTTTGCCCGGCGCCGCTTGATCATCCAAGGCGCGTTGCGAGTTAAGATGAGATGGTGATTGATCCCGCGCTTAATTATTTTTTCTTCTGTCTGTGCTGTGTGCGTGCACTGTGCAGTGGCTGTGTGCGTGAGCGTGCACGGGTGCTGGGCTGACATGGGCGAGACCTACTGGGGGCCGTGTGCTGTGCGTTACGACTGTGAAGAGTAGCATAGCATCGGCAACGAGGCTGGGGTGTCTAACTTAGGTTGTGTTTGATTCAGCTCATGGACTGAGGTAATCCATCATTTTTCGTGGGTATATTTCTCGAATTATCGAACGATGTGTTTTGTATAAAAATTTTATAGTTTTTTTCTAAAAAATAAATAAATCTACATTTCAGTTTTCGTTAGGGTTATAGATACCACATAACTAATAGTAGTTGACTAAATCTCGGCAGGACCCACCACATACCATATCCTATACGGAAACAACATGTGGATATAGGAGGAGTTCCAGATAAGGAAAGACAACCAAACTTCTACATGGAAACGACAAGTACTACTCGGATTGTATACATATTGGTTTCCCTAGTTCTATGGGTATAAATACAAAGCCCCCTAGGAGGAGAGGGGACATACCCACCACGGACAACATAGACGCCACAAAGCCACAAGCCAATACAAGCCAACATACGCCAAGACAAGACGCCAGATATCGAATTCGGAGATAGGCACAGCTAGTCCCCTACGGTGTCTCCGGATACTGTCAGGAGAGACGAAAGCGCTATCTTTGATCTCGCCGGGCACGGATTCGAGGAGGAAGACTACCCTGTTGTCGACTACGAGTCAGACCTTCAGACCGCCATGTCGACAACAGTTAGATAGGCTACCCCAAATTTTGTACTGGTGTGATTATGGTGAATAAGAGCAACGACCGGCTTCGGCCAACAGGATGTAGGGTTATTACCTGACATTCAGGGCCCGAACCTGTATAAAAATACTTGTCCCCGTCTCTTTTACCTCAGTCTCGCGTATATCCTAGTACCAACGATTCTCATACTATGCAAATACCGGAATCGCGACATCAAACGTCGACAGTTTTGTAATAGTTAATATTCACTCCACCCCAAATATAATGCATATCAGTTTCTCACCGTATCTTATAATATTATAAAACTTGCATATATGCGTACATTAACTAAAATATCATCATCTAAATTTACTTTGTTTTAAAGCTTCTACCATCAAATCCCCTATCACATTATTTTTATACATAGAGGTGATCAATCGAGGAGGTGATTAAATTATTTCTTGACCTTTGAAATTTTAGGATACTGTTGGTGATGCTCTAACGAAATCTTAGTATCACGTTTTTACCAATCCCTGTCAAAATTTTAACAATTTTGGAACCTTCTACTCATCAAACTATACCAAATTATGGGGTCTTAAAAACTCATTCACATTCTCGAGCTTACCAAATTTAATAACACTATATTTTACGATTAATTTCCTCAACATATATACCAAATAGTTCCAAAATTTCATATAACGGAGTCATTGACGGGCTAGTGTTATGTACAATTTGAAGTTTGTACATACGTAGTATAGTACTTCACATGCATAACCTTACATAGCAGCTAGTCGAGAATGTCCAGCGCTTGTACCGTACGTACCCGACTACTCCACGTAACTGTATCCATCCATTGGGGCTTCGGGAACAGGTGCACGACGAAATACTTGATGAAGCGTGCTGCCGTATTTAAGTTCCATCAAGTACATTTCGAGGCTCGTACGATGTACGTGTGCATTTTTTTCTTGGGCTTGTATAACTTGGTACCTCGATTCTCGGCACTGCGTTGTTTCTTTTTTCGACTCTCGGAGCGATCAACGCACGACGGACGAGTGCCGAAATTTTGGCAAATTTGATCCGAAAACTTTATCTCGATGTTACCGGGGTTAGCGCAATAGTCTAGTTTTAATAAATTCTTTATTCTTCAAATAATATAGTACTCTCTTCATACTCGTAAAAGAAATCGTTTAGAACAGCGACACGGTCTCCAAAACACAACTTTGACTTCTTTTTTCTATAAAAATATCTATCTATCTATCTATCTATTATATACTAAAAGTCCATTAAACTTCCTACAAACG